CTAACTAATTATAACAACCTAARTATCAGCACCATTAGCAATTTAATTTCTTATTATAGGATGGCAAAAAGGAGATAAACAGATTACTTATGCCAATTCTGTGTGAAATGCTATAATTTTTGTGTCTTTATTGGATGTAGCCTGTTAGAGATACTCTGCTTTCCTCCATATGCTACCTGCCTGATAAGTAACAAGTATAGGGTGCTTTTAAGAGCAGAAAAAGGAAACTCACTCTGCTTGTTTGTTTGGTGTGTTTACAGTCATATAAATATAAATATCTCAGGCAGAACAACATTATCCTAATTTTCTGGAAAAAGGAAATATTCTTCTGAAAAATGTTCATAGTAATGAAATTCTTTAATGCAAAGTGTCATCTGAAGTCAAGGAGTGTAAAAGTATTTTGAGCAAAAGTTTGTATTTAAGAGAAAGAGAGCTCAGACTTTCTATGTAGACAGCCCAAAAGTGCAGAATTTTCTGCAGAAAACAGTTCTTTTTGTCTTTGTGTAAAACTCAGCTCTTAGCCTTAGTTTTCCTTTAGTAATCACAATAGAATTTGAAAAGAAATATGTCATTTTAGTATTTRCAAGATAAACAGGCATAAAAAAGTACTGAATTTTGATATTTCATTTCACAATACAGGATTTGAAAAACCCTAGTGATGGATACATATTTTAAATAGCTATGTTAGTTAGATTAGACATTCAGAGAAATAGGATGGTGTAGAAGAGATGATCTGCTAAAGCAGAAAAATAAATCTGTTCACTAGGGATCAGTCATTTTTCCACTGAACTCCGGCAGTATTCCCCAGTAGTAGAAGAAGACTTAGAGATTCCTTGCTATGGACCATCAGGAGGAATTATGTATATCAAGCCTGTGAAAGGTTACAACAAGCATCCTTAGAGAACTCAGACTCTTGAATGAGGGTTGCAACTTCGACACATTTGGATATTTACTGATAAATTTCCTTTTTATTTTTCAATTGCAATAATATCAATCAAAAATCCAAATAATGAAAGAATCCAAAGTTACTAATTTATACTACTGTGTAGTGGTACATCAGTTTATAATTTCTTTCAAAACTAAGAGATTCCAAACAATTGGTTCTTTCCCTACTCAGGGCTCTCTCATTTGCCTGTTCTATACCAACTYCCCATCAGAAACTGCAGATAAGATTTTTGCCCTGACTTTTATATCCTTCCCAAATGTGATCACCTCCACACACCACTCCTGCATCCCACCTTAGTCATGAACCTTTCCTTGTGCCCCCAGCTGCAGCTTCTGCAGGCTTTGAGGATTTTGACATGGTACCATCTCACACTCCTCTTTTTCTTCCACAAGGTGCCTCGACACCTCTCTGCTGTGCGAGGCAGCCATGGAACAATGGAGATGCATTAAGTGGGAGCAAGGCGTGCTGGTCAAGTTCTCTTGCGATGGATATTACATAAATGACCAGAATTGGTGCCATTGCTCCATATTCCAGTGTTTCACCTGAGGTTGCCCCTGTGAAAGCACAGCAGACCTGTCCATTTCATAGAATTTATTCTAGTATGGTATTTGCCTACTCACAAGAAAGTCTGTCTTAAAGGCTTYGTCTTCTAGTGGAGGACACCTGGATGAACAGCAACAGCTAAGGTCCTTGAACATGTCCAGTAGAGCATTCACTGGGACTGGAGAGAAACGAGAAGGTGGTGCAACTGGGAGTGGTGAGAAGACTGGCTCTTGGTGTCACTGAATRTCAGGTCTTCTGCACGTAGCTTATGCAAGCAGAGTCCCTGCTCCTTCTGATTGCGCTTTCCTAGAAGAGTAGGTGCAGCAAAAAGGGAATACAAGAACACACCCTGGAGGCCTGTAACTTTCAAGTCAGAGGCTGAGAAGAAATGGGGACACAAGGTAGGCTGAAGAAATGCAGAAGTATTGTGCATGATATAACTTAGAGCAGAAATGTCTTGTGGTTGTGGCATGTTGTGTCAGAGAAATGAGTTTTGGCACAGGTTAACAGGTCTTCTGCAAGACCCAATTCCTGCTTGCAGGGAAACATAACAGACAAATCTGAGGTCAGTTTCTCTTGGAGAGACAATCTGGATATGTGGATAAATCATTACATTTTATTAATGTGCAGTTTTTGTCTTCCCATTGTATCTTTCAAGCATGTTTCCTCTGAATCAKTCATGAAAGATAATAAGAAAGGCATGCCCCTGAACAGAGCTGCCCATTTTAATTTCATTTAGTTGAAGGGTCTTGGGTGCTCCAAGCTTCTTTTGTGGTCTTCATTGTCAAGGTGTTGAGACATTTACAATAGGTTTCAAATGGCAAATGTCACCCACTCACGGTTGGGTTTTTTTTCTGCTTGGCCTGACCAGACACAGGCACAGGCAGAGGCAGAAACTTCAGTTACTGTGTTTCCCTTCTCTCAAGACTTTCAATGCTCAGAAATGCATCAGGAGGCTATTTTCCATAAGCAAACCTTAAAGCATTCTATCACCTCTTTAGTTTATAATTTTTTTGTCTGTCTTGATGTGGATGTGAGTTGGGTGTAGGGAAATGTTTGGGACTTTTTATGTCAAATTAGAAATATGCGTCTTGAGCAGAGTTTGTGTGAATTGTATTAAAACAAACAAACAAACAAACAAACAAACAAACAAACAAACAAACAAACAAAACCTCAAAACACAAAATAGATATGAAATGCTGTTTTGTGATGCAACAAGATGTCCAAATGCTGAATAAATAATTTCTTTTAAAAAAAGTCTAAGGTGAATATTGATTTGAAGGCTCAGCCTCAACTTAAAATCATGCCCCTCTTTGAAAGTCTWTTAAGCTATTGTTAAAAGCGGTATCTTAACATCAGCAATACTGAATTATAAATGGTTAGAGAAACTGGATTTTCTACATTAATTTGTTTCTTTAACAAAATACTATTTTGTATGTTGGTTAATTTCCCCTGTTACTTTTAAGGGTTTTCATTATACAAAGAGGAAAAAGAGTTTAAGAAAATTGATTGCATAAAATAKAAAGCAATATGCAATAGGCAGAAAATGAGAGAAGGGTACAATGGGCTGAAGGATTTATATAAGGAATGACATTGCTCTTAAACAGATCTGTAAGCAGACCTGAGGTTTGCCTAATCATTCTGCACACCACCAACCCATATATATAGGTATATGTGTATATATATATATGTATCATGTTATACACRTTACACAAAGTATACACACGTGGTGGTATATATAGAACATATACCTAAACCAAAATATCCACAGTACTGTATGAATATTATAATGTATTTGTATACTGTATAATGCATATTATAATGAAACAGAGCTAACGTCTTCCTGGTAACAGGAGACTGGGAAAGGAAGTCAAGTAAGATAAAAAAGTTGGAAGAATATCAGCTCTTCATATTGGTTGGTATTCAGATCCTGGTTTTGCACATCTTCCTCACGTAGTGCAATGCCTGTCAGCAGGATCACTTGGGCAACCAGGGGCTGCTTCTTCTGAGCCAGGGTGGATTTGTCTCCCGGCGTGCTGTGAAATCGCTGGCTATGGAGCCAATGGCACCAGGGCACAGGCTGTCGTGTCCCAGTCCCACCTCTAACAGGGCATGTGCACGTGTGGCAGCTTGGGTGATGWGTACCTCTCATGCAGTGGGAAAATGTCTGACTTCTGTGTTTATCCTGAAACCTAGTGCTGTAAAACCTGCACACAAATAGGCATCTCTGGGATTGCCAGGGCAATTAGTCTGACCGTGCCAGGCACCTTTCCGAGATGCTTCTTTGCACCCAGAAAAGATTTACAGCTGGAAATCAACTCCAAAACAGTTAGCCTGAGGAAATTAGGGTGAAGTGGCCTTTGATAAGATTGCCTTCTCTTTGTTTCTAAAAAAACCTCATGGACCAAGTCACCTCAAACCACAAATACCTGCAGCTTTGTTTTGTCATAAAATTAACATTTTCAATGGTGAGACTAAGGGAAGCTTTATGAAATACACAGCATCAAAGGCCCGTGTTTCATTTCCCTCAGCAAACATACCTTTTCTTTAAAGAACTACTAACTTTTGTGGGACTTCCCAAAWGCTTAGGGCAGTCTGAGCTCAGGTACCTTGCTAAATTGCATGCATCAGTAACAGACCTTTAGTTGGCTTTGTTGTGAGCCAGGTTATGAACAAAGGTGCATATGAAGTGTTTGACATAGATACTTTTCCTGAAAGCCTGTCCCACCTTGTGATTTGACAGAAAATGGTTGTGGTAATGTTCATTTATGGTTTCTCCGACCTTTTTAATATCAGGGGAGCAATCTGCAGAACTAGAAAAAGGTAAGGTGTCTTGTCAGGATGTGTCATTTCCCAAAGGATGGAGATATTGGAACAAATGGCATYCTAGTTCCTGCTATTTCTGAATTGCAGCATGCATTGCTATGGGAAACCTGCTCGCAAGGAGCCTGGGGGAAGAACGGAGGTGAGGGGCAAAGAGGGAGGCAGTGGGGAGTCCTGTTTTGTAGGGTGAAGGTCCGGGGAAGCTGGCAGGGTACTGGGCAGGTGGGCTGGGAAAGGAGAGGCAAAAGCATCGCCACCACCCTTCCCATCGCCCAAGCACTTGTATTCTTTCCCCGAAAGAGCTAATCTTCAGTGTCACATAGCTTAGGTGAAACTTTCCTTGAAGTCCTTCAGTCAAGTCAGCCTGCGGCGCAGGAGCAAACGCTAGCCCAGAAGCCGCAGCACACCGAGAAAACCCATCCGGAGGACACGTTTCCCCCTAAAARCACTGAATTTTTGGCGGGCTGGAGAAAGGGGTGTCTAAGGCATCGGTGCGCGGGAAGCGGRGCTGCAGATGAAGGCTGAGCTTAAGGATGGAGCGGGAGAGGAGGGAGAGGGATGAAGCGCGACCCGAGGCGGAGGGGCCGCTCCGGGGGGGCCCGCCGTGGCCCCGCGCTGCCTCCTGGCTGTGGGCGGGGTGTCGCCGCCCTTGGGCCGCCGCCGGGGCGGGCCGGGCAGGGCCGGGGGGATGGCGGGGGAGGAGGAGGAGGAAGGGGGGAGCGGGGGTGTCATGCCGAGAGCGCGCCTCGCAGCCCGGCAGGCCGCGGCCCGACCCGGACCCCGGGGCGCAGCCCTCCGCCTCTCCCCCAGGCAAGCGGCCCCGCTCCCCGCCGGGCCCCGGCACCCGCGCCCCGGGCAGCAGCCAGCCGCGTCCCGAACGGGCGGAGGGAAGGCGGGGAAGGAGAGCRGAGCCCTCTCCGACGCTCAGAGGAAGGGGAGGGAAGGGGGAAAAGTTTAGCGGAGGGTGTTTGAATCGGGAGCTATCCCTAAAGAGACTTTCCCCTGCTCTGATCCAGAGGGCAGCGCTGGGAGGAGGGGGCGGCGACGACGAGCAGCCCTGCAACATCTGTAAAACTTGAAGGAGGCGGCGGAGAGGAGCGCGCGAGAGGAAGGAAAGAGAGGGGCGAAAGCGAGAGGGACAACTTTTCCGACACGTGAGTACCTCGGCGCGATGTGTTTGTCCCCCTCCTTCGGTGGCTGCGCCGAGCCAAAACAATGCGGGACGGCGGCGCGGCTGGAGGGGACGGGCGGCACGGGACGGGACGGGACGGAGGGGTCCCCCCTTCTCTACGAAAACCGTTTGGTACCAGGCGGTGGATTTGGGGATATATTTTTTTTTCTTTTGCTCCCTCTCTTCTTTTTCTTCTTTTTCTCCTCCCCCCGCTCTTTTTGTTGAACCAAATCAGAAATGTCAGTCAGTGCGAGTGAGTCAGAAGGGATCAGATTACAAGATCACTGAAACTGATGTCGGACCCGCGCACACACACCCCCACACGGAGGCAGAGGCGCGGGCTGCTCCCCGCAGGAGGCGGGCAGGGATAAAACAACCACCAACAACACCCGCCGGCCCTCCTCTGTCGCCCCCGTCCCGCCTGTGTCCCGTCCCGTCCCCTGCCCCGCGGGATGCCCGCCGGCCGCGGCGGGGGCCGGCCCCGCTAGCCGCAGCGGGGGGGGAGAGGCGCGGGGACGAGCCGGCGGCCCCGGCCCTCGCCCATGGGCAGCACGGGGGCTCGTCGGCAGCGGCGGCAGGTACGTACCCACTTGGGCGAGAAGTTCTTTGTTCCCCCGGCTCTGCTCCGGGCCACTTTCTCGTCGTYTCCCAGCGCTCCGGCCCCGCTCCCGGCCCCCTTCCCGCTTCTCTAACTTGGAGGCGGGGGGCAGGGGGGACCGAGGTGTCTAACCCCCAAAATGGCTGTCACGGAGCGCGGGAGCCGAGGGCGCGGGGCGCGGCGGGGGCAGTCCCGCTCCGGGCCGGGCCGGGCCGGGCTCGGCCGGGCACGTCCCGCGGCGGAGCTGCCGATGTGCGGGGAACAGCTGCCGGTTTATTTCCACTCCATTCTTTCTCCTCGCCCCAACTCCGTGCGCGACTCCCGGGCGTTTTCACGCCCGTGCGGCGGGARGCCGGCATAAACTTCTTAGGGGGAAGGCGAGAGGCGCGGAGGAGAATCCSCTGTCACATCTGGCGGGGCGGAGGGGCGCCCGGGGGGCCGTCGTTCCCTGCCGGCTGCTCCCTGCGAGGAAGGGGCGGTCGGGTCCCGGTTGGCAGCGGGGCGCCGTGGTGCCGGCGCCTCTGCGAGCGAASTAGCGCTCGGCCCGCTCCGCGCCGCCGCTGGCACGGGGTCAGGCTGGGGAGCGGGCGGCGGGACGGGCCCGGCCGAGGCCGGGCGGGACGAGCGGGGCGGCTGCCCCAGGGGAGCTCCTCGGAGCCGCCCCGGGCCCCCACCGCGGCCGGGCCGTGCACCGCCCAACTTCGGAGGGTGGGAGCAGAGCGCGTTCGCGGCGGTTCCGATTGTCCCGTGAAGTTGGTGGGGTGTTGGCACAGTTCCCGCGCCCTCGGACGGGCCCGCCGGCTCGCAGCTGCCAGCGCCCGCTCCCCAGCCCACGCACCACGTGAAGAGTAAAGGTAAAAGGAAACACACGCCCCCCGCTCCCCATCTCACTCCCCAGTTTTGTTTTTAACCCTCTGGTGCGTAGTTTTGATCCGGTCCTGCGATTACGGTGTCCGTGGCCTTCTGCCAGTTTGTATGTAGATATATTTATGTAAAACATTTTCTCCCAGCTCCTTGCCAGCTGTTCCACATTTTCCAGCTGCCACTTCAGTTTGAAATGATGGACTCTGCGGATCTCAAAGAGCCTTTTAGTCAGGGGTTCGGGTAGCTGTCCGTTCGATACACAGTGTCACGTTTTAGAGGCTACTTCACTAAAGGAACATTAAATAGCAACCCACTGCAAAATGCTCATCACCGTCGCGCYCCTACTACTTCCCGCTTCACTTTCAAGGCTCAATAAACATTATTTTTAAGCTTCAGCGTGCAGACTTCGTTTCTTTTGTGTGCGTGCTACAGAAAAACTTGGAAGCAAAATTTTCCAGAGGCCTTGGGATGTGTGGCTGATTAAACCAACAAACATTTTTAGGAGGGCATGGATGCCTCTCTCTGTGATGTAGGTATCTGTTTTGAAATCGTTTAAGTCAGTGGAATAGTGAGAAATCACTGTTTCTCTGTGTTACAAAATTGTTTTCGGTGTTGTGTTCAATGAGATTATGGATTGAAATGTGCCAGAACTAGCCTTAAGTAGTTTGAATATTTGTGCAATTGCATTGTAATTTGGAAAGGTGCCTCACTGATTGATTCCTATAATTATTTCATTTAGATCCTTTATTAAAAATTAATAATGATCTGACAGTTTCTTAATTACATATGTCATGATTATTTTGAAGGAAGACGAATGCAGTGTTTTAAAAGTAAGGTAACCTTAAAATGTAAAAATTGCCATGTTCACACCACTGTATTTCAGTCATGGAAATAGATATTAAAAGTAATGGTGAATGAGTTTAGCAATGTAAACTGTGGGCAGCCTCTTGAGAGTTTGTTTATATAATGAAGGTTTGGGTTTAACGAGCTAGTATGTAAATACTTTCAGTTTTGTGTATAGCCCAATTCTAAAAGCATAAATAATAGTAACTATGAGAGAAGGCTATTTTAAGGATGGGGGATTATTTCTTTAAAAGCAGGATTATGTGATTTTGAATGAGTAGGAAGAATGAGTAAGAAAAGGACTCTCTCAGTGTATGTGTATTCTTTTAAGCAGCAGTGGAAGCAAAACTATGGCTTAAGGTGCCCAAATGAATGCACTCTTGCATTCTGAGAATAGCATATGGTTTTCTGCAGCATATGCTGTTTTCCAAAGCTTTTCGGTAGAAGTACAAAACAAAGACATCACCTGCATTTTCCTGTTTAAGTGTAGTAACTTTTCTGGCTTGAGAAGATGTGCAGTGGCCAAKACTGTTTTACTGTTATGCATAATCATCAATTGTGAAAGATGGTGCATTTTCAAACACAAAACCAGTTTGTAGCTAAGAAATAAAGGTATAAGAGGTTATAAAAGATTTTTTTTTTTTTGAATAGTTATTGGAAAAACCAAAATAACCAAGTTTGTAGATACCATTATAATTTGTTCACCTTGCAGGTTACTTAACTTTTTAACAAGATAAATATATGCATTGATATTGAACCATGAAAGTTACACTTCCTCCCTCATTTTGGGGAAAGCTATTCGATTACTTACACTTCTGTAGTAGTGTGTTTGAATTTTAYCCTGCATATTGAAGGAAGAAATGGCATATTTTTATGTTGAATGTTAGTGAAAAGTTAGTCCTCTTTGCCTGATAAATAAGGAATTTGAGGGCTATTAAAGCAGGGTTTATTTGGAGTTATGGAAGGAAGCATTTTAATGATCAGTGTTGCATGTGTTCAACTAAATGGAGACAGTAGTGTACAAAGGAAAAGCAGACTTGAAGGAAAAGTGAATCAACGAGTCATGAAATCCTCAGGAAAACCTTAGTAATGGAATGTTAATGCTTTTAGACTATAGTAGATTACCTTAAAAGTCAGGCTTTTCTTCTTTATGCAATTGTTGTAAATCCCTAGCTAAAGAATACTTTGAAGAATGCTTTAGTTTTTCTGGCACTCTTATTCTGTAGTAATTCTGGTTGTTTTGGAAGATTCAAGGTATTTTCTGCCAACTTGCAGTTAGGCAATTAAAATGCTAAAATGGCTACAGAGGAAGCCTTTTATTTAACAAAAGGTTCAGCTGTAATAATGATTTCAAGTTGTCTTTTAACCACAGGTTTTATAGACATCCTCCCTTTAGACTTTGTCATTTTTATAAGGGAATTGATTTGTTTTACTTTAAAATCAAATAAAATGAGACAGAATAAACAAAAATAGGGCATGGGTGCTGCTGCAAACTTTTCAAGTTCTTTCAGTGCATTTTTCATCTTTACTTTTATTTGATAGGTCTGTGAAATAGAGCTGTAGACTGGCAGACTTTAAATGAAATTTCACACTTTGATGATTTTTTTTTTAAACTTTGATATATTGACAGCAAAAGGAGCTGCAAAGCTTTTATATAACTTGAGCAGTAATGCCAAGCAGCAGTCAAACGTCTCTATGCATTTGTGTTTAACTGCAGAAGAAAAACATGTCCATGGGCAGTAGAGGGTTCTTATCAACTCCCTAATCCCAGATCCCAGCAAACCTTGAGGGCATGCCTCAGATCTTGCTGAAATCATTGTAGACTCTCACAGTTTGCAGATTAAATATGCTATGTGTTCCTGGCTCCAACAACAGTTTTATGAGCTCACTAAGCTTCCTGTTTTAAGATCCTTTTCTGAAGTTTTTAGGAGCTGCTAAGGGCGATGCTGTCTATGGCAAGTGGTACTTAATTTAGGGACACTTTAGCTATTTCATTCTGTCTGTAAAAAGAGCCAAAATTGCTATTTTCAAATWAGAAGTCGAGCTGCACTGAAAAAGAGGAGCTCCTTTAAAGAGGGATTCGGTTTTTTTAATGTGTTTGTCAGTATACAAGGTGACAAAGTTTATACGAGGCTTGATTTGTTTTATGGGGCTTGACTTTGACTGGGCTCTTTAAAATGAGACTTTTTCAGTTGTAATTCTAAGCACAATGCAGCTTTTAGTACATAATTTCTGAGCCTCTTTTAACCAATTGTGTTTGTAGCAGCTCATTAAAAATAACCTTTGAAGTTCTCATTCTCCTTTAAGTCTCAGAGAAGGGAAAGTATATTCTGCCAGGAATGAATTTCAGTGAATCAGGTAGTCAACCCTGRGACTTGTTGACCCTTCTGAACGTATGGTATCGCACGTCACATTCCGAATCTGGTCTTTTCTAGCTGCTAAATAGTTAACTCTCACATTTTATTCACTGTAACCATCTTTATGTATTCGGTGTAATAGTTTTAATTAAAAAGGAAAATACTTATTGTCCAACAACATGTGTCATATTATTCCCGAGAGAACTTGAGCCAATTTTGTGCTTAAAGGTTATTCAATGAATGAAATTTTGAAAGCCCATTTGTCAAGGTACTGCACGGTTTCTGTTAGTTTTCAACCCCCAAATTCATTGTCCTCGTGGCCCAGTCATTAGTCAGYAGTGTATTAGTGCTGCCTTCAGGCAATGCTGCCCAGCACTTCTTCACACCATTATAGCTCTAAAAGTGTACTCTGCCGACTGGTAGAATTACTGCTCTGATTTCCGCTTGGCTGGTTTTGAGGTAAGTCCCCTCCCTACCTTCCAGCTCACTCTAATCCCTGGTTTCTTTTAAGGCTGCTTTCTGCAGAGATTTAGGGGAGAACTTTCTTAAAGATTGTGCTGGCATCATACTGTGGTTTTGTTGTGGTGTACGCTGTACATGTAAATTGCACCTGCCTTACCTTGAAAGTGTATTAAATTGGCTGCTGATCTGAAGAGTTGGTTTCTCTCTAACAAAATGAGAAACGAGACAATACACTAATGTTAAAAACCCCTGCAAGGTTATTTAGATTACAACAAGGGAAAAAGTRATAGGGATAGAATGTGTTTGCCTCTAAGTATTTGCTGGGTGTCAGAACTGACAATATCAAAATCACTACAAGGAGATCTGATTGAATAATTTTCTTAGCTGATGTTGCCACTCAAATGTCAAGTTGTTTTTTACACTGATTATCAAGATGATGAAGACTTTAAAAAAATKTGTTCTTTGTTTATTTTTATTGATGCTCAAAATGCTGCTGTATTTTTTTTTTGGTATCTGATATTTAGTTCAGGGTAAAGTACCAACAGATGTTTTGTTGGTTTAGAGGTGAACTCCCCCCAGCAGTGTTTGCTGCTTTGTATGATACTCTGTTTCCTTCATATAAAATGTGTAAATATCAAGAAAATCAACTGGGTGTAAAGAATACATCATCCAGCTGCCCAGGGAATGAAGCCTTCCTTAGCTAAGATGTATGAATACCTGAAACTGAAGAATCAGAAACACAGATCGAGTTAGTGTCAGTGCAGTACGCTGTTCTGAACCGTGATTTTAAAATGAAATCCCAGTACTACAGATTCTAAGCTATCAGGATGTGATTTGGTGGAGTTTTGCTTGGCTCTTCAACTCACTATGGATGTTTTTTCTAGGAAAATAGTACAGCTGTATAATTCTATGATTACACTGTTTTAACAAGGGTAGTGGATTGTGCATTTGCAGGAGTTCAGACTTGTGCTGTTGTGTTTTGTCAAGTTACTAAAACTTGAAGGAATTGTKATGCAGTTCTACTGCTATTCTGAGACAGGTGTAAAACCTAAAGTAAACTGTAAAAGCTGAAGATAAAGTTTTATAAAGTACCTTTCACACTTGAAGTTCTTCCTGTGTATATGGAGTTTTCCTAGCTSTTTTACATCTGTGTTGGGTTAGAATATGAAGTTCTGGAGGAAGGCATCCCTTAACCTGAAAGTATGCTGAGGGGATAAACAGGTTCCCAAGGAAGGGATTGTGATCAAAACATGGCACTTTCAAAAACAGTCTATTTGATTCCTTTGATCTTGTTTTAAAATGCTAATTGTAAAATACAGAATACAGTCGTTTCTTCTTTCATTTGCATATCATAAGTTCGGAACAGAAGGAACATCTTTGCAATAGATGTACATTAAATACATTCTTCCTTGAGCTCAGTTCCTGTATAGATTGACATTGATATATAGATGTAGTTTTGATTCTAAGGAAACTTTCATCTGTTGGGATTGATGAGATAAAACAAAAAGTGTGAAGAAAGTGGTCATTTCACTGGAATGTTAAGCTCCAATGCTTGAAATTAGAACATTTTTTTTCTGTGGAAGTTGTAGTGACTTCCTACTTGGCTAAGTAAGTGGTGCAAAGATCATCCATTACAGATGTTTGTAATTTGCTTTGCCAGGCTGTTTGTTTGTTGACAAAAAGGGAAAGAAAAAAAATACAGCCTGTATTGTCACCGGGAGTATTCCTAGTATCACTGTCAGCAGAGGAAGTCATAGGGTATGTTATCCTCACAGCAAGTCTTGCTTCTCCCCTCA